AACATATCTAATATATCCAACATATCCGACATATCCGACATATCCAACATATCTAACATATCCAACATATCCAACATATCTAATATATCCAACATATCCGACATATCCGACATATCCAACATATCTAATATATCCAACATATCCGACATATCCGACATATCCAACATATCTAATATATCCAACATATCTAATATATCCAACATATCCAACATATCTAACATATCCAACATATCCAACATATCCAACATATCCAATATATCCAACATATCCGACATATCCGACATATCCGACATATCCAACATATCCAACATATCCAACATATCCAACATATCCAACATATCCAACATATCCGACATATCCGACATATCCAACATATCCAACATATCCGACATATCCGACATATCCGACATATCCAACATATCTAACATATCCAACATATCCGACATATCCGACATATCCGACATATCCGACATATCCGACATATCCGACATATCCGACATATCCAACATATCCAACATATCCAACATATCTAATATATCCAACATATCCGACATATCCGACATATCCAATATATCCAACATATCTAATATATCCAACATATCCAACATATCTAACATATCTAATATATCTTCATACGTTTTATAATGGGCTTTTATGTGTCATTTGAAGATATCATCAGATCAATATTAAATGCAAAATAAAGAAGGTTGATTGTTCAAAATCTGTCTCAGGAAGAATGGAAATAAAGCAATAAGCTCACCGTTATTATTATTATAATAAGAATAACGACTGAGCTCTCATTTCATTTTGTGTTCATCTTGATGTCAAGTTAGTGCAAAAAACAATTAATACAAATACTAATAATACCACTACTGATAATGATATTAAACAAATAAAGTACTACCACTACTAGTAATAATAATGTATAAATAAAGTACTATTACTAATCATGATAATAATAATATAAACAATAAGAAATGTGTTTTTGTTTCTCTTATTTCTGCCAGGGACACAAACACTATGATGATAAATAAACTAATTATGCATCAATAATTCATATAATAATAAATATATATTATTCTGAACTACGACTACTACGATGACTACTTTTACTTTTGGTACTTTAAGTATATTCTAATGTTAATACTTTTGTCTTTTTGATCGCAGGACTTTTACTTGTCATGTAGTATTTATGTACTGTAGTAATACTACTTTTATTAAAGTAAAAGCCTTTGTTTCGGTTACCGCCCCCTTTCCCTCAGGATTTAAGCGGCTCTGTCGCTTGATGATGACGTAGGAGCGAACGTCGCCGGAACAGCTGCTTGTTGTTCGACAGAAGAGATTTCCTCCTAAAACAACGCGTCAGCAGGTGAAGCTTCAGGTGAGACGAACACCAACACGTTCATGTCGTTGCACGTGCAGCTGAGGCTGTCTTCTTCTTCTTCTTCTTCTTCTTCTTCTCTGGTCTTAAAACGTGTCGTAGCTTCCGCCTCCGTGTTTACAAACAGAGAGTGTGCGCTGAATGAATTCCTGCTCAACGTAAACACAAGTCAGATTACTAACACGTAGCGTGTGTTAGTGTACATACTTTACAATACTGGAGCAAGTATAAGTACATGATGATATAAAGTACATGAAAGTACATAACTTTATGTATCCTGAGGGAAACTGTTCTGCAGGATGTTGCAGAACAAAGAGTGAAAATAGAGCAAAATATGAACTATTAAAGATGATCAATAATGTGCAAAATCCAAAATATATACATTTGAACTTCTGCAGTATTTTATAATATATTTAATTTTTTTACTTTCATGTATATCTTTTTATACGAGCGACTGCTTCTCTTGATACGAAACACTGTCTAGAAGGTTTGAACCAGCTGACATCACGCTGCTCTGGTGGGTCTTCGTGGTCTTCGTGGTCTCTTGTGGGTCTTCGTGGTCTCTGATGGTCCACTTTCCCTTCAGCGCTTGCTCTCTTTTATGAAACCACAGCTCGGCCTCCTGCAGACGCTGCTGCTCACAGAGAGTCAAAGCAGCAGCTCTTTCTCCCGTTAATGGCTGCTGCTGTTGTTGTTGTTGTTGTCGTTGTTGTTGTTGTTGTTGTTTAGAAGCAGCTGACAGTGAGAGGAGGTAAATGACATGAAGTGTTGGCTGACATGAGACCAGCAGAGCAGCTGGAGCGACGGACACGCCTCCAGCTGTCAGGACTGTTTCTAATGTTTCACTGTTTGAGGTTTGAATCTGAAACTGAAAGAAAGACAAACAAAGCTTTAATATTGATATAAAATGGTATGAATGCATTAATAACGTCCGGATTAAACTTCCAGTGAATTCTTCTTTCCACTCCTCACAGTAATGGTTGCCAGGTTGCTTTTGGCAACCATTTTGAGAAACTGGCAACCAAGTCTTTGCCTTTGGTTTTTAACAATAGGGACAGCGAACATGACAACATGCACTTTGAAATCAAAACGTTTTTTAATATTTGTTGCATTAGTGATGTTTAACTATATACACGTGTCAGACCTGTGACTCCGTGTTGTTTTGTCGTCTGCAGCGATGAACGTGTCGGTGCGTGAGGTCCGCGTCCCGTCCGAGCCTGACTCCGCCTACTTTCTGCGCGTGGACTGGAGGGGGCGGGGCTTAGGCTCAGGCTTCCAGTTGCTGCTGACTGATGGACAGAACGCTTGGAGAGGAGATGGTAAAAAAACAACACACACACTTCTTACCTGTGAACATTGTAGAGCTCAGACAGCCTCAAACACTGAAGATTGAGAGATGAGTATCTTCAGGATTAACCGATAGATACTTATCAGTGGTTCTTGTTACATTGAATTTATTTATTCCCCCCCCCCACTCATCACTTCCTCATCTCATCGTCCTCGTTGCCCTAAAAGTTGAGGCTGACGGTCGACTCTGGATTTCTGAAACCGCAGCTGACAAAACCGTCTCCACTCAAGGGCCACTTACGTGCTTCTTCTGGAGACCAGAAGAATCTGCTGATACGGTCGAAAGCTCCAGAACAAGCACATTCTCATGCACAGAGCAGCTGCGTTACATGTGGTCTGTGTCGAGTTCTATTCATCAGAGAATCGGATAGAGATCAGATCTTTTGCTTAAAGGGGCAGTGTGAAGGATGTAGTGGCGAGGTCGCATATTGCAACCGACTGAACACCCCTCTGCTCACTCCTACCACCCCTCTGCTCACTCCTACCACCCCTCTGCTCACTCCTACCACCCCTCTGCTCACTCCTACCACCCCTCTGCTCACTGCGATGTAAACCGTGGTATCAGCCCGGAGCTTCAGCTCGTTACTTCAGGAGCAACGGGAGTCGGACTGCGGCGGACGTTACAACGGTTTCACAAACATGTCGACTCTCTAGAAACAGTGTTTTTGGTGTCGTTCTCTCAGTGAGCGAGGCGGAGGTGTGCGAGGAGGCGGAGGAGCTGGAGATGCAGACGGAGCGCTACGTCCAGGACCTCCAGCAGGCGCTGACGGAGACCGAGACCGAGAGCTACAGCTTCACGCTGACTCCGCCTCCACCCGAACGCTGCTCCTCCGTCACGCTGGAGTACGAGAAGGTCCAGAAGGACATCTCTGTGAGTGATGACACACACACACACACACACACACACACACACACACACACGAGTCACGAGGTCAATTTAAGAAGAAAGATGGTCGTGTGTGTGTTTGGACTTTAAGACTTTATGGGTGGATTGTTGACATTAAGAGTTGTTGTTGACGATCACTTCGTATATGTGTGTGTGTGTGTGTGTGTGTGTGTGTGTGTGTGTGTGTGTGTGT